GAGAATAATGTGGATAACACACTGATGTTTTCAGTTGTTGCTAAGTAGTGTTTAGACTAAGTCAAGGATTTTTCAGCTTCTCATGCCCAGCCAGCGAGAAAGCTGGAGGGGCACAAGAAGTTGGGAGGGGACACAGCCAGGACAGCTGACCCAAACTGGCCAAAGGGGTATTCCATACCATGTGATGTCATGCCCAGTATATAAACTGAGGGGAGCTGGCCCGGGAGTGGCGGTGTGGATTGCTGCTTGGGAACTAACCGGGCATCGGTCAGTGAGTGGTGAGCAATTGCATTGTGCATCACTTGTTTTGTATATTCCAATTCTTTTATTATTATTATTGTCATTTTATTATTATTATCATTATTTTCTCCCTTTCTGTCCTATTAAACTGTATTTATCTCAACCCATGAGTTTTACTTTTTTTTCTGATTCTCTCCCCCATCCCACTGGGTGGGGGAGGAGCGAGCAACTGGCTATGTGGTGCTTGATTGCCAGCTGGGGTTAAACCACGACACTACTTCACCCAAAAAGCAACTGGAAGCAGACAGACAGAACTCAACTATGTCTTTACAGGCTATGGAAAAAAGTGGGGTATGAGAAATGGCCACAATCTTAAAGGACATGAGGACCAGGAATGACCATACTGTCTTTGTTATATTATTGACTTGTTGGAAATGTAAAGCATGTTTAGATAAACATTATTTTCCATATGTGTCCAGCACATTCAATTAACTCTTTAAAAAATTTATAAAAATTCTATTTTTGGGCCTTTTTAATTGGAATTCAGTTCCCATCCAAATGCAGCTTGACCCACCATGTGTTTAAAAACTACTCATATGGTAAATAGGAAAGCTGCCATTTACCTTATACTAACATAAAAGTTTAAAAAATAAGGCTGAAATGTATTGTGAGACACAGTATTGCTTCAATAAAAATGTAGTGATAGACGACCTTCATCAGCGAAATGAAATACAGGATTTAGTGAAAAAGCCTATAATTAGTAAAGAAATTAATCATATTTAATTTCAAACTCAAATGAGAATCAGCCTTAAGAACATCTACTGAGAAAAGGAAATGCAAAGAACTATTCAAATTGATTATTTCAGTAAGTGTTTCTTGCTTATGTAGCTGGTGTTGCATCACATCAATCCCCACTACCATGGGGAAACTTAGAATTCAGGAGCAAGAAGCAACTAAGATCCAGCAAAGGAAAGATTGTCCTGACTGATGAGCAAAATTCATTTTAAAACACCTCCTCTCCCTGCCTTTGGAAATGGAACATTATTTATTTACTTTTTCTGTGCTTTCATCTGAGATTCGCAGGTTGTCAGGCCTCCGAGGGGAATTTGAGGACTCTGGACATTTTTTGACGTGCATGGGGCAGCTCTCCTCCCTGCCCATTGGTGCAGCATGGGCATGGCGCTGAGATGCACGAGGCCAGCAAGGACCCGTGCATGATTTCACTGTCCTGTCTGGGTGCCCTGGTGTGGACAGGATCACCTCTGCTACCTGACCCCACAGCACTTTGTGCAATAGTTCTGACCTAAGACTTAGATGCCTCAGCAGTATTGTAATGTGAGTAATAGATAACAAAACCAGCCAAGATATTCCTGTTTATCATGCTGCACCTCTCTGAGGACTTTTTCCTTTTGTTTTATAAGGGGTTATCTCTCAGCCCTTGCCATTTTTACTATCATAGTTTTGCTCCCCCCCTCCCCGTACTTCAATTCACCTACACCACGTACTTCACAGAAGCACATTCTCGCTCTTGTTGCCGAAGCTGGCAATTGCTCACACCAAGTGTGGATCTCTGAGCAGCAGCTGGCAGGCAGCAAGCCTCCCAGCGCAAGGCCTTCACCTGTTCACATGAAGCTCATCGTTGCAGCAAACACTATTTTTGGGCAGGTGCCAATCTTGCAACCAAAGAAAAGGATCCTAAACAAAACTGGGATTTTTTTTTTCTCTTGCCCTGGCATGCAGCACGAGGTGTGCATCTCTGGGGGAGCCCCTTCTCTGTGTGCCCTTCACTAAGGCTTTTGTGGCTGCTGCCATTTTGGTAGCTGCTACTTCAGGCAGACAATGAAAAACGCACTTGGCATTGTGCAACTTAAATGAAAACCTGCAATTTGTGCTGAAAGAATAGGTACAGAAACATACAACCTGAATGTGAACACAGAGATGCTGCCCCAACACCCCCACCCACGTGTGGCACATCAGTAGCCCGTAACCCTGTACCGGGGCAGGGCACCGACCCGCACATCCATCCCCAGGCCTGCCGCTCCACCTGGGCTGCGAGGAGCCGCACCAGCCACGCGTGTGCCCCAGGCCACCTCCCACAGCCGCCGTGCAGATGGCAGCGCTTCCACTGCTGTCAGCGTGGTGGCAGGGACTGCAGCATTAAAAGCTTTAGATCTTGGTGTCAGAGCCTGCAGTCTGTCAGGGTGACTTTGCCTTACAAGGTAGGACGGCAGTAAAGATGAAAAATGGTTTTGCCATTTTCTCCCCGGCTGCCCTCAAACCATTTATTGCCAGTAGGATATGCAGAACGCCTGCTCCTGGCACACCGCTCCTGTTCCTAGCCCTGCGCGCCCACCAGACACCAGCCAAGGGCTGCCCAAAGCGATGGCTTCCTATGAGATCGGGCAGCTGGAAGCTGGGGAAGAAAGGTCCCCCTGGGCACAGTGGAATGGCAGCAGGAATGAAAGAAATCTCACAAAGTCCCCACCTGTAGCTCAGTCAGGGCAGGCCCTTCCCCATTTTAAGACAGCCAGAAAATCTAGCAAACAGCACCAGTCTTTCTCTAGAATGCCCAGTAATGCAGACTCGGCACAAGGACCTGAAACAGCGATAGGATACAGGTGACAAACACTGAACTGGAAGTGTCTGAGAAGCCAAAACCAGGAGGGTTTTAATAGAAAGCAGTAGCTTTTCTGGGATTTGAAAATAAATAAAACCGAAGTAATCTAATTTTTCAGAAGCCCAAAGCTAGGTAATTTATTTCTAAGTGTCCATTTAAACAGGCTTTCTTAGACTTCCTGACCAAAACACTCACTGCTACTCTGTACAAAATTTCAGCTCAAAGAGTTACTTTTTTAAAGACAGCTGCTACCAGCTGACAGAAAAAGTCAAATCCCAGTCTCTGATCTTAAAAGTCTTATATACTTTCTCCTAATGTCATAAGTATAAAGCAACATGAAAAACAACTAAAACGAAAGCACCAGTTGCAGACCGAGTTCAGCACTTCACATCCATTTGGCACTAGTGTAAATGCACATCAGGTAAAGTAGGTAAACCAGGCCTTTTATTTTAGACATAGCTGAGGGCATCTGTAAAATGGATTTCCCACCTCAGCATTCTCACCCCCTCTTACCTAAAGCACTAAACCCATTCCTGAAGACAGGGGAAATGGACCAGTTTGGGCCTTTGTTACAAAATCAGCTGTCAGGGAGGCTTTGCTGAGGTTTCCTGACTCAGTTCACGCAGATTGTGCTACAACAGCAACATGCCGGGTTAACTGCAACCCCAAGGAGGGCTCTTGTGAGAGAGAGGAATGGTTGGGACCCTTCTGGAAGACCCTCCATGCTGGAGGAACAGGTTGGGGGAAGGCAGAGGGAAGAGGAGGATCTGTGACAGGTCATGTATGCCACATTCCGTTTGATAAGCGATGCCAAGAGAATTCAGAAACTGTGGACCAGAATCAAAATCCAGTGGGTCAGAAGCCTACATGAAGATGGGGGAAAAATATGCTGAATGTCGTTATCTCAGGTCCTTCCATTCTGCTGATACCATGTCTGCAGTTGCCCTGCCAGCCTGCTTTACCCACCAAACTCGGCTACAGCCAGAATCATGCACATTGAGCTGGAAATCTCTGCCATTCAAGGATTTATGAAAAATATTTTACTTTGGTTCCCCCTGAAATTACATCATTCTCCTCTTTTATCTGTCTTAAGTGTCAGGAGAGTGTCATGTTAATGAGATGTACAAAGGCTTTTGGGTAGCTGAACAGTTTTATAGTCCCACATTGATAAATTAAAGCATTTGTCACTGTTACCACATTAATGTTTCTTCCTGAGATCAAAGTCTGGATTTGCTGCATCGAATAGTACCGTCCTCTGCTATGCATTACCATGCATTACCTTGTGAGGAAATTAATTGCAATTCTATATTTTTACATTCACAGTTTAATCACACCCTGATTCTCACACGTGCTGATTGCCATCTCCACATGCAGTATGCAAGTCATTTTTTTAGTATGGATTTTCTCCTCACTACCTGTGTGAAAAGCCCAAATATCTTTTTTCAGGACACTCACCTTCTTCTGGCTCTGAAAGGCTGCTTCTGCAGTAAAGAATACAGACAATTTCCTTCCTTCTGAAACCCTGGATTCAGTCATGTTAATTTACATTTATATAGCACCTTTCATCCCTGAAGATCCCAATGAACTTTAAAAACTCACCCTCTCTGTACACAGAAGCTGTACAAATATACATGGCTACATAAACAGACACAGCAATCCCATCACCGACCGCTGAAATGCATCTCTCTGCACGTATTCCCAGCACACTCGTGGCAACTCAGCTCTGCACACCCTACGTCATATCGCCATCAAGGAGGAAAATAAGGCAGCATGATTTAGAGGCATGCCATTTCCCTGTCGAGGAAGTGCGGGGAATCGAGGCAAGCAACAGAATGGCTTTTACAGCCTGGATGACTGACATCTCCTTGGCACTCTGCTGCATAGGTTACAATGAGGTAAAGACTGATTTGTGGTGAATTATACCTCACTTCTTCTGTGCTATCAGTGCCTGTAAAAGTCCAGGCTTGTTGCTCCCTTCCACTGATGGGTGACCCTCAAGCAGCTTGTTTTATAGAAGTGAAAAAAACCTGCTTGCTTTGTAATGAAAACATAAGGGGAAATAACGCCCCCCTCTCCCCAACAGTAGTAGTTGACTGGCTCCTGCCAATGTGTGGATAGAGGAGAAGGAAGAACCCCAACATACCTGAGACACCTTTTTGACCACATCGCTGCCCACAAGAAAGCCCTGTGCATAGGAGCGCGCTGCAATGAAGGCTCGGGTTGCCTTCACCTTCAGGTCCCTGGGAACTTCCCCGAAGGGTTTGTGCTGCTCCGCATGTTTCACCATGCAGTCCAGGTACTCATCTGTGATATGGTACTGGGGATTCATCAGCTTGAAGAGCCGCTCCAGCAAGCGTGTCCAGAACTCATTGAGGGCCTCTTCCAAGTTGATGTTGGAGCCCCGGTAATAGCGGCGTAGCTCGCTGTACAAGTCCTTGAAGATCTTCATGTTTTGAGTATACAATTCTCCATACATGCTTGGAAAAGCATCATAAAGGGCCTTTTCTGACTTGTTCAACAAATCCTGGAAATAACCTGAAGAAAGAAGAAAAAGGAGACGGTGATGCATCAGTTGGACAAGCAGGAAGCTAATGGGCTGGGCTGTTTGGCAGCAGAACCAAATGCCCTGAGAAAAGAGAAGGGCCCTAACAGAGCTTTTCCTCCAACAAACCTTACCCGTACTCTCAACCCTGAGCCTTAGCTGAGAAGATTGAAGGAGGAACCCCCCAGCGCCAGTGCCAGAGAACCATGGTCTGGGCCTCTCTGCCTTTTCTGGTGGCCTCACCTAGAACCAAAATTGAGGCTCTTCTCGGAGCGTGTTAAGGCACCATAGTGTTGGTCATAGGTTTTCTTTTCAGAATGCATCAACTGGCATTGCTTACATATACTGTAACTCGCCACAGTTGTCAGCCAACACCTTACGAGAAACTCAACCCTGAATCAAGAACCAGCTGCTTCTGGCACAGAAGTTGACACTTGTTAAACATCACTAGAAAACGTAAACACACAAGGCTGCTTGGATGCTGCTCAGGCAATGGAGGCCTATCCTGTAATGACTGCTGTTGGAGTCAGACTAGTGTATCAATATTAGCATCCATACCAGAATGAAGCAAGATAAAGATTTAATCTATTAGATAACCTGAAGTCTTCCATTTCATCACGTGAAAGGTTGTTATTCCTCCAGCATTGCCTGCTCTTACCATCACACAAAAGTGATGGCTCTTCTGGAGAAGACTGCAACTTTAATTTTAAAACAGAACTGCGTGCCCCCACCATTTTCCTTTTTTCTTGGAAGGCTGCCATTCCTGGCTGAGGCACTGATAATTTAGGGAAGCCAGCAGGACTCTAGTACAACATACGTGTCTGAAGCACAAAGCACAGCAGTCTAAGACAAGATCCCTGCAGGCACAAGCTCTTCTTTGGGACAGCACATTTACCTGAAGAGGACGTGGCTTTACTCTGACTAGCTGTCGGACCTACTGACCCAAAACCACCATGATCCAATGCACAATTTGAAGCTGCCTTTGGAGAGATCACTGCAACTTGTCCGAGTCGCCTTTCTTTCCTGCCTCACTGCTTATTTTCCAATGCGTTATTTCCAAAGCCCTGGTGAGATGGAGCAGGGCTACACCAGCGATGGTGCCATTCCTTCACAGAGATGCCCCCATCAAGCCTAGTCATCACAGCCGGCCTGGCTCTGAGGCACAGCCTGTAAAGCGTGTGCCAGAGTCCCAAGCTGTGACAGGAACAGGCACGTCTTATTATGTTTTTAAAGACAGGGCTGTACTCAAGTGTTTTGAACTGAGGCCAACATTATCATGTTCGAGGTTCTCTTCCCGTTTGCTCATTTGGATTTGCATCCTGCTTTTGTTTAGGTATAAACAACTAAATGGTTTTACACCCTAGGTTCAGTGGTCGTAGAAGTGACAGAAATGCGACTCTCTTGCTACATACAGCAAGGTAAAGATGACAGATTCAGCTCCTCCCTTACCAACATCTTTAGGTACTTCCATCCTCTTGACTGACAGCTACCTTCAGGCTCTCTGAGACTGCACAGTGGGGAACTCATAGCAGGACCTGCCTGATTCAATTTACTGATTTACATAAGCAACTTTTATCATCATTTAAGTCAGTGAGAGGAAAATGATTTAAATAATCATCTTCATTTCAATTACATATGTACTTTTTAGGGCCTTTTTGAAGCAAACCTGATTATACTATTCTTTAAATCTAAATTACTATTTTTTTTTTTTGGTGATGTGTGATAAGCTCTAGTTGGAGGGAAACCGTTATTCAATTAAAATAAAAAAGCATGTATTTAGGTATATAAATTAACTTCACTGTGCTAGGCATATAAGAAAAGAAAGAAAAACTTCTGAAAAATGCATATTGCATGTACAAAGCTTTATTAAACAAAGTATTTTTTGAGGGAACAGCACTGACTACAATTAAGGAACTCTGAAATTTTAGAACTAGTAAAGCTCATTTCCATGTGTCTTGTTTATATTCACAGACTGGAAAGGCCATTCAAGCCTTCCTGCATTACCAATCTCTCATTGGCTTCTCAGATTTGAACAAAGCTAAAACTCAGCAAGCAGACTGAGCAAGTGAAAACACTCTCTGCATCTGCGCCACAGGCTGCTAATATTGAAACTTCTTGTATTTTAACAAACTGATACCCAGCATTAATAGCCTGGCTTCCTCCAGCCACAATCATGTACTGCTTAATAGTTTAAAATTTGATTTAATTGCTTTTAAAAGATCATAAGCAAACTAGGTCTTAGCAGAAGTTTGGTTTAATCACTTATGCATGTCCTGGTTTCAGAAAATGAAAACATGTTATCTAAAATGTTGAATAAAAACTGTGGTTTTCAAGTGTACTTTTGGAAGAAATGTATTCTTACTCAACCTGACCTGGGTGACAGTTTGTATCTCCAAACGTTTGTACTGGGATCCCTCCGTCTCTCAAATGACTGATCTGCATGTGTTTCTCCATCTTCCCTATTAAAACTGGATTTCTTCCTACAGACACCAGTAGGTATAAGTGTGCTGCCAGCGGGCTGTCAGGGCACCCAAACCACCTATAAAATTACCTTGTAATGGGGGGTTCCTAATACAAAAAAGTCAAAAGCTGATCCCATCAACAAGTACCTTACTAAAGGACCTCCGTTTAATAAGAAGGGATGCCTGCAGCACGTGCTGTCCTAACACAGCTTATCAAAGCCTCTCCTGTGGAATCTCAAAACAAAGGGCGATTTGACCCCTGCCCTCTCCCTGGGTCCCAACTCCTACTCCCCTGCCCCAGCTGCCAGAGAGGAGCTCTCTCCCAAGGTAGGACAAGCTTTCTGCAAAGCCTGGGACCTCTCATCCCAGCCCAAGGGAATCCTTTGGGTCTGTATTTCCCCCCACTCAAACAGTTCAGCCATCACTAGTCCCAAAGTCAGCAGCACATGGCAATTTTTCCTACTGACAAAATTATCACTGTGAACTGCAGGGTGCTAACACAGGTGAGAGCTTTCCTTTTACCAAAAGGCCTCATCTACACTGAATAATTGTACTATATGTAATTAAAACTTGGCAGTGTTACTGGCACATACATAGCACCCATCCTGGTAACCCTGATTCATTGGCCTCTACACAGACTGCTCTGCTTCTGCGAAGCGCTCAGGTATCCCCTCTCACAGCCATGGCTCTGTCCCCAGCAGAGCAGTTGTGTGCGCCCACTTACAGGAAATTTTGGCTACTCCACCAACGAGTGAGAAGCTGCAAGAGGGTGATTTACTATTTGGGAGTTTCTCATCCAGCATTTCTCTCCGGCCCTAGTGTCACACGCGAGCCTGGGCTACGAAGATCACAGCGGGGCAAGCCCACGTCAGGGCTGCCGCAGCCCTGAGCTGCCAGCCCACCTGCTCTGGCACTGCTTGCTGTGAGCTGAGTCCGAGCTGATCCTGCTGCAGCATCACCATTTCTTGTTGTATAGTCACTCTCCCCTGCAGCACCTCCTGAAGGGACTCACTCCTGGGCTCAGAAGCCAAGCAGATAACTGCCAGGCAGACTATTTGTCCTGGCAGGACACTTTTTGGGTCTGACTAATCTGAGGTGGCTTCATTTTTCTGTTGCCACAGCCTTCCTACCTGTACAATGAACAGAAATAGCATTCACCCACAACAGACACAAAATACAAAGTTTCTCTTATGCTGATATCTAAAAGCTGCTTCATAGCTTAATGTATCACTCCAAGCACTGCTGGTTACCCATTCACAATTTAATTAAACTGAGCTCAAATTCTCTTTCTTGTATAATCAGTGTTCTTTTCTCTGTGACAAGCGACACTAACTGAATAAATTGCTCAGCAATTCAGGTACGACATGCAGCTTGGCACTCACAATCCAGAGGAAGAAAACACCAACAAACGCAGCCCAATATTTCAGTTCAAGGGAAAATGACTTTCTTTGTATTGCTACAGGAGAAACAAGATGTATATCTTCCTGTCAAAAAATTGGAAACTGCTCTCAAAAAAGTCCAAGCTAATTACGAGTTGATGAACTGTTACTCCTCACCTAAGTGAGAGAACACCAATTACAGTCAATTCATTTGTGGCTGGTTCTCAGAAAGTTCTTCCAGATTTCACACACTGAGAAAAAAAAAAAAAAGATATCTATATTATCTAGGGAAAATTAATTAGCAATTAAGTCTAAATGTGTTTGTGATGAATGGCTGACCTGGCAGGGAATTTAAATGCCCATTTTGCAGCATTAGAAGGCACTAAGAAGTGGGGTTTATCAAGAGGGATGCACAGAAGCTTGTGCTAACTGCCCTGGTCCTCGGCAGGATCTCAGCCTGCACCACTTGTACACATAGCACAAGTATCTCCAATTAACACTGTATCTTCTCCTTAACAGTCCCTGCCTACTAATATTCAACCTTTTAATGTATTTACACAGGCGTCATAGATTAAGGATATGCAGGGCCTCAGGGTAAAACAACTTACTGAACCACAGTCCAGGCATCTGTTCTTGATTTCAGGTAGAAGCAATTATTTATTCTAGGGGAAGCACCCCATTATCTGTAGCCATGGTGAGTGGGGGACCCTTAGGTAACCTGGGTGGTTGGAAACCTCTAATAATACAACTGTCCCACTATTTCTATAAGAGGTTAGAAATAACCACCCAGTGGGTCCCTTTGGATTTAGTAACTTGCACTTGGTCCACCACTGCTGGGTCTGCCCTGGCTCTCAAAGGATGATTAGAGTCATTAGCTCAGTCATGGCACGAGCACGTGGAGGCAGCTTCATCTCACATCCTGGACACTTCCGCAAGGCCCCTGAGCTCTGCTGACACCATGTTCTCCAGGCCAGCAGCAACAGGCTCAACCTATGTCTGCATTCATGCACTGTAGCATGTGGCTTCATTAGCCCTGGGAATGGCAGAGATGGAGCGAAGGGGCTCCTGAGGAGCTAGCACTGGAGCTATAAAGCCCTTCTGACTCCAGGAGTCACCACTGCACTCCCATCCCTTGGAGCAGGTACACAAACA